ACTCTCCGCCACCGCCAACTCTTTTTTAATCGCCATGTTTTTTTTTACACAACGTTTGTAAGGAGCTGCAATCATTACACTATGTTCCACATGACATCTTAAGTAATTTATAATAATAACATAAATTTAAAACAAAGACTTATCCTCTATCAGCAGGAGGCATAGTGAAATAGGAGCACGCACTTACATTCTCGTGGGAACAACACGCAAACACATAGTCGAAATAAGTAACATACACGAATTCAAGTACGACCAGTCACCAGATTATTAAGTAACACCAATATTTAAGAAGTTTAATGAATTAACTCACTGAAATATGGCAACTTATGTAACAAATTTGCCGATAAATATATTTTTGAGCTCCTAATATTACAATCTGTAAGGTTAGCATTATTCTTACATACTTATTGCTACATAAAGTTTTAGCTTCTTAGTACTGTCTCGTGCCTTTGACCTGATCTAGCACTATCTCATTGTCCCTATCCTATTATCCCTTACATCAAGAAAGCGGTCACTAGATAACGTAAATCTGTTACCAATTACCAACATCTTTTCATTTTGCAACTTTTAAATTAATACAGGTAATCAAGGTTTATAATAATTTACCAAAAAACATGCAAGATCTTTCTACTAGAGTTTTGAAAAATCGACTCAATGTACTTTTAGGAAATATGTATTATTCTATTATTAATATTAATTTGATATCGTAATAATATATTTTAATAATATGAGGATGGAGTGATAAAATAATATAAGAATTGACTATAATGATATGACTCATGATGTAATTGTTACTTCTATTCTACCTTTTAAGACAAATTTGAATGCCATTATTTGTTACAGAATATGCGAACTTTCGATTGTACCACCATAACATTTGTGTAGCATATTCTTGAAAATACATTATTAATATTATTATTATAAATAAATACTATGAGATAGTCTCATAACAATCAAATAACTTGAATATTAATTAGAATATATCGTTAGGTAAATATACTTGAGTTGTAGTTTTAATGAAGAGCATTATTATATTACTGCATCTCGCATCGAGAGAACTTAAATATAACAAGATTTCAACTTGAGCGTAGCACTCGCGCTTCAGATGTAATATTAATTATATTTCTTAATAATTTCTATTTTTGAAGCTTCACCAAGAAATATATTTTAGCAATGTCTAGTGTAAGACTTTGAACCATGTTGGCACGCGTTGGGACATCCATACACCGAAAAAAGAAAATTGAATTTTCTGTTCTATACGAACTAGTTTGGACGGTAGCTACATCGTGCCTTAGGCCCAATAATCAACGTGTTTTAGGAACGAAAGGTTGATCACATACTTTAAAAATAAAACATTCACATATACGACACCGATATTTAAAGACGCTATTACGTAATATATTTTGAAGTAAGTGAAGAATGCGTTATATATATAATGACAATAAATAGAGATTTGATAACGAGTTAGAACAAGTATTGTATGAATTTTTTTACGTAGGAGGCAAACGGGCAGGCTCACCTGGTTTTAAATGATACCGCCGCCCATGGTCAGTCACAATGCCAGAAGGCTCGCAAGTCCGTTGCCATTCTTTTAAGAATTGGTACTTACATTTTTTTCTAGAACCCTAAGTCGAATTTTATTTCTGAAGACAATGGTTTTAACGTTATTTCGCAGCAGCTGATGCTTAGTAATTGTCAAATATCATGGTAATACGCCTGTGCCCGTTTCGCTCCGTGATTTATTTAAAAATATTTTAATAAAAGCTTACGTCTAGAAACACACCGAATTAAATCTGCTTGTACTCGTATGTACGTACCTTTAACAGGTAAACACAGCATGTTTGCTAACAGAATTCTTACAAACTAAATATGTGATAAAAAGCGAGAGATATAAATGATAAGTTATTGGACAACTTTGGAAAAGATATCTCTGCGAATCTTTGAGTAAAAGAGGTGGAAAGGATCAATTTCTGGGCGAAATTTATTAGCTAACTTACACAACCTAGGAACGGCAGCGTTAGAAGGACGGTTTTGCGGAAGCGAATGGCCAAAGGTTTAATAGGAATAGAATCCTAAGTTTATTTCTGTCAGCAAGAGGGTCTAACGCAATTGTTGCTTTTGATAATTTTGTTTAAAACAGACATGTTTGCTTAGTCCAACTTCCTGTCTAAGTACAAAATTTCAAAGTGTCAAAATTTCAATTATTTTTTGTTAAGAACCGCTGAGAATTGTAGGAAAACCTGGATTATATGTCAAACAAATCTGGATTCGTGTTCGTGTTTTGGTTCGTTCCTGTGTCGAGTGATCGATTATTTTATGCTTTAACTACTGTAAAAAATGATTTCTTAAAACATTGCTTAAATACCAGTGTACGTACTTATGGTGAAAGTGCCAATTAGTAATATAAATGTCATTATTCTAAAACCAGCGAATATTGCTATGTCGATCTAAGCTTATAGCACAGTTTACAAGTATATTGCGTGCAAATAAAATGCTTGAGCGGCAGAATTTATTAGATCCTAAAAGTGCTGAGGAGTTTCTCGTAAAACAATGGCGAGGGGGATGTGGAGGGGGGTAATGAAGGAATAATGGAGATATTAGTGGCGTAATGTTGGTGAAGGTTTTAGAACTTATTTTATTTGATAGACCTCTTTATTGACGTCTTCTCGGATTATTTTATTTCAAGTTGGCATTCTGAAAATGTTAATTAAATCATCTAGTTGATTTTTGATTGCGGCTTCGTGGAAATAGATCGCTAGCTTTTTGGCAATGTGAGTGTATACAGGCGATATCACTTAACATCACATCATATCAGTATTTTGTGGTTGACTCCTCCTTAAAAAAAATATTAGGCAGAGTCTATCAGTAAGATTTCAGTAATATCATTGGTTTTATCTTGATATAAGAATTGAGTATTTCGTAACGTAACTTTAAAAAAAGTGAAATTTCTTACGTGCACTTCATAAAAACCTATTAAAACATTAACAATCTAGAAGTGTAGTGCCTATCTACATATACAACTTTTTTATAAATTTGACGAATACTTAAATTATCCTAATCCTTGGGATAGATTTGCTCCAGTTCAAACGATTTGTATGACTCAAAACTTAGCGATTAAAAAGAGTGGCGGAAAGTTTCTTGCCAGTTCTTACCCGCTCTACGCCCTTGACTTGCGAACTGGTAGGAAATATAAATTTACAATTAAATTAACTTCTTTTTTTGACGTTCATAAGTGTACTTGTTTACCTATATGAATAAAGATATTTTGAGTTTGAGTTTGAATCTGATAAAATTGCTCATATAAAAATATGCACGAATTATGTTGGTTGCGGCAAGAGGGCTAAAAACCAAGCAAAAACTATTTTAATTAACACAAAACTTATATTTTAATTATTAATGTGGCAGCTCGATGCTGCTCACGTTTAGTTTCTTACATGTCTAGACTATATCTAAATTCTAAGTAACTTATACTAAAGTGTCCCACGGTCTTCATTACGCCGAGTTTTCACAATTCGACACTATGGAATCACTTCTGCTTATTATAACTAGAGTTACACATAACACATTTCAATGCGACTCTCATCCCTGAGGTCGTAGATTCGATCCCCTGCTGTGCACCAATGGACTTTCTTTCTATGTGCGCATTTAACATTCGCTCGAACGGTGAAGGAAAACATCGTGAGAAAACCGGATTGCCTTAGACCCAAAGACCCGACGGCGTGTGTCAGGCACAGAAGGCTGATCGCCTATTAGATTGATAAATGATCATGAAACAGATTCAGACATTATACCTAAAAAGGTTGTAGCGCCAATGATTTATTTTATTTTTACACAATACACGCGTCAATATTTTGCTTATATTGAATTCGCTAAAAGTGGTTGATATACTGTCCAATGATGAGTACGGTTTAGAATGAAAACTATTACTCTAGGTACTCTACATCCGTATACAGCTTTCAAAGTAGCACATTTTAATTGCTACGTGTCCATAAAGCTTCTTTGAAAACGTACGACCGTAATATAAACCGACTAAATATAAGCACGTGATTGTTACCATGGTAACCATTTTACGTAGAAAATGTACCTATAACTAATAAAGGCCTGAATGCGTACCAAAAAGAAGAAAATCGCTTACTCATATAAACGACAACGCCGATCGTTTATTTACTGTAAATGGCTTTAACTTCGCCGAAACAAAAACCTAATCCATTGAAAGCCGTCCCAACGGACATGTTGGGGACAATATCAAGGCACTATTTCACCGAACTGCAGCGCACCAATCTTCATAAATCAACAAACCCAAATAAAACTTCTGTCGACTCATGTCAACTATTGTGGTCTCTTAATTTCAATTTAGCAGCAATTCTGCAGTCAACACTCAGCATTATATAAATTAAAGTTTGTGTATAGCCTTATTTTAGCACAGACTGTGTGATTACTTCGATGAATTATGTTTGCATGCACTGAGAAAGGATGTTTGGAAAATCAGATGCAAAAGGAGTATAAAAATAGCGATATCTTAACTGCCGAATGTAGATATACTTTGATATATTCACAACTAGCTGACCCGGCGAACTTCGAATCGCCTAACAGTCAATGAATGTCGTGTTACAGATGAACTGAACTTGATTTATAATTTTAAGAAAGTTATGCAACGAATTGTAATACTCAACATTACAATGTGCATTGATTTGTTGTATATTTAATTAGCTTAATATTCTGAGTTTATGTAAAATAAATTTCTGAATGCACGCATAAATATTTGACAACCGATATATATGTCAATCCTTTTTCATTACTGACATTATTCTACACAAATAACATAACATAGTGACAAAAACTATATGAATCCTTTATTTTTTTTTTATTATTTTTTTTTAAATACAGGGACCCCTACATCCTAGCCTATCAGCCACGCAATCAGGCAGATTTGTGACCGAGTGGCCAAGCATCAGGGGAGTGTCAGAATCTCCCCTTTCTTAAAAAGGGACATTATTGTCTTAAAGGGTTGGCGTCTCCCGCCGGGCCCGGGCGACAACTACTCCGAAAATATCGTCATAATTTCGCTGCCCGGCGACACCCGCGTTACCTCTCGTGCTATTTTTGTGAGTGACATATCTGACAATCTTGTCGCAGAATTTTTCCAGCTGCGATCTGTGCTCAAGCAACATGTCGGATAGCCCATCCCGGGATACCCTCATGCCAGTCTCGAGTTCCAGATCGCACCTGGCCCTTCCAAAATTCGCACAGTCGACAAGTAAATGAACCACCGTTTGGTCGGTTCTGTCGTCACAGTCACACGCGGGGCTTGTCTTCAGTTTGAGTCTGTGTAAATAGTGTCCAAAAGCCCCGTGGCCAGTCAGGATCTGCGCCATGTGAGGTGCGAAACGCCTTGTCTTGATTTGTTTGTATGCCGCATTTGCATCTTTAAAAAACATTTTTGTGACTGAGGCTGTTTCGCCCCCCACATAGCGCTCGTTCCAGGTGTCTAAAGTCTTGAGTCTTGTCAGTCGTCGCAAATAGGAAAGCGGATACGCATCGTACCCTATTCGCGTCCCCGTTTCCCCAACCGCCTCCCCCGCGAGAGCGTCTGCCCTCTCGTTTCCCGTAGTGCCAACGTGCGCCTTCACCCAAAAGAGTTCAATTTTAATGCCATTTTCATGGCACTCTTCCAGGTTCTGGCGAATCTCCGCAACTTGGGGATCGAGAGAGCGTCCACCCGCGATGGCATCCAGTGAAGAGCGAGAGTCGCTGAGCACAGCCGCATTCCGCCTTCCCTTGGTCAGATATGTCACTGCGTCCCTCAGTGCGGCTAGCTCCGCCTGGTACACTGTACAGTACGTAGCCAGCCTCACCTTTTTATTTTTAATCTCGGTCCCGTCTTGCCACTCAGTCCATGCCGCTCCCACTCCCGCGGACGTTTTGCTCCCGTCTGTAAATAATTTTGTCATAGTAACGTTATCGATTTCTGACGGGTCGTCCAGTTTTTTGTAAGTTATTTTAAGTCTATTGGCGGGGTGTGGGAGCTCAGTGTATGGCAGTCGCGTCTCTATTGTCTTGTCATATGTTACGTGCGGTGACACCCCCTTCCGCGCCAGGTATGCGGCCGCGGCCTCCTTAACGCGAAGGTCCAGGGGAAGTATCCCTGCAAGCAAGGCCGCTGAGCTGAGTGCTGTCGTTTTGTATGTTTTTGCAATTTTTTGTGCGAAGCCCCTTGTCATGCGATCTAATTTCTTTTTAATAAAAACTTTTTCTACTGCTTGTGCCCACACAGCCGCGGCGTACAGGACTATAGGCTCGATCACTGCAGTGTATAGGGTTGCAGTGACGTCCGGCTGTAAGCCCCATCCTATCTTTGCTACTTTCGAAACTTGTCTATATATTGATATAGTCTTACTGTACAAGTTGTCAATGTGGCCTTTAAAAGTTAATGCAGCGTCTATTTCTACGCCCAGGATCCTTATTTTGTTGGTAAATATTATTGGCTCTTTATTCATCGTGAGGCGGGGATTGTCATATTTACGTTTGCGTGTCACCACCATCGCATTGGTTTTGTGAGGCGCAAAGCTAAGTTTGTTCCTCACGCCCCACTTATGTACAAGATCCAATATACAATTGGCTATTTTTGTTACCTCCTCTCCCGTGTCTCCATCTATCATAAGCAGGACATCATCTGCAAACGCTTGGGACTTGACCTGCTCTGCATCTATCATCTTCAATAGAGGGTCAATAAGTAAGTTCCAGAGCGTAGGTCCGGCTATGGAGCCCTGCACGCATCCTTTGTTTGTTCTTCTTAAGATGTTATGGCCTGCGTAATTTAGGATGACGCTCCTGTCCTGGAGATAACTGTTCATTATTCTTACTATGTTTGCAGGACATTCCTCTTCCACCAGTCGAACCAGTATTTGAGGCCACCAGGCACTGTCGAAGGCGCCCTCTATATCGAGTGATATAACGGCTATGATTTTCTTTTTTTCTAACTTGCTTCTAATATGTGTCACTGCGGTGTAGAGGGCGTCCTCGGTGCTGCGCTGGGGCATAAAGCCGTACTGGCGGTTGCTTAAGCGTGGTACCAGGTGCCATCTGATTCTTCTTACTAACATTTTCTCGTACACTTTGCCCATAACTGGCAATAGGCCTTTATTTAAATACGTTCTTTAATTTGAGGGTAGAGTTTATTGTATCGACGGCATAAACATCTACGGTCTTACTAATAAAAAATCACTATGCATGAGTTATAACAAGGTGATAGTTATTCAGTGAATAGAGCTTGTACAGGGCATAAACACCTCTTTGACCAATAATAATCGATGTGTATTGGTTGAATAACTAAACGACCCTTATTTATTGTTACCCTAGCAACCCGCCGTGTTTGATTGACGTTTGACTTAATAATTCTGATAGAAGTCATAATTCAAATGTAAGTTGTATTTATTTTAGCAACCAAAACAATTATATTCAGACAAAGAGGACTAGAATTTTACATAAAAAGCCACGTTCTGCAGTACAAAAGTTGGGAGAGGTTAGTATCAATGTGATAGAGAAAAGGACTATTTCATTCAAAAGCCCTCAACGATCATACTTAAATTTTTTAGGCATCTCAAATAGTGGAAAGTGCCAAACTCCGCAACACGGCAGTGTTCCAGTGTTTGCAGGAAGAGCATGAAACCAAACTAAGGCAAATGGCTGAAACACATGAGCTCAAACAGAAGCAACTTGCCGAAGCTCACAAATGGGCTAGACAGGAGCGTCTTCTAAGGCTCAAACTATTACAGCAGCAATATAAAAAAAATAAAACCCCTGTTTTAAATGAAATATAACTTTTTATTTATTTCACGTCTAACTATCCACACCTATGTAAATAAAACAGCTTTAAAAATATGTTTCAATAAAAGCAGCTATAGCAGCTTGTCCAGCCTGATTGCTTGGGGCGTCTAGGTTGGCCTTGGTTCTTCTGGAGCATTCTCAGTGTCATCATACGTAACATCCAGGTCTTCTTTCATATCAATAGCAATATTGTGGAGGATTGCCAGTGCTACTATATATAATTTGGCATTTTCTAAAGACAATGAGAAGCCATGAAGAAGACACCTAAATCGAAAACCATCCACCTCTATTACTCTTTTCGACATCAGCTCGCAGTGTCACAGATCTTCATAACATACTTCTTTGAAAAGCGGTATTTTGTTTTGAAATCGCCATCCGAAAGTAATAACGGATTGCACCGAGTTTGGTATGTTTTGACTTTCCTTGGAGGCGGCAAATCTTCAATCGTATGTATTAGCTGCATATCAATATTATCTAAATCTTCCATTTGATCTATAAAATCTATTTTCAACAAACACAAATACCTACTAACTTAAATCTTTCCTTGAACTAAACAGTCAAAAAATGCAGTCAAACGCGAAATCAGATCAAATAACGCAATTTATGTCCTATACACCCGTTAAACTAGGCCTCGGCGTTGTATAAGCATTGTACAAGTCTTCATACAAACCAGACACTTGTTATAACAGCCGTATACATCAAACGTGTCAATTCAGGAATTATTAGTAACATTTTTCTTATAACAGGCTTATACGATGTGCATAATTCTTTATTAGTAAGACCGCTAATGTTTAACTGTTTGAAACCCACGAACATTTAGTATTGTTTTTTTTCAATGCTTTTAAAGTTATTCGAGACGGAGACAAATACAACAAATCAAAAACCATGATAACCGGTCCAGCCTTTCTCGAGTTATAAGTATTCAAACCAACCCGATTAATATATTAAGTATGTTTGAACTCCGGTTACATCGCATTAAAGAAAAAGTGTGAAAACAATAAATACTAAAGTAAAACAAAATGTGAATTAACTTGTCATTTGCGACGGTCTAAGGATATCTTTCCTGCTTCTATCTAATAATTATTATTACTATAAATTAAGGAAGATTGCAAAAAAAATCTATGTCACAATACTCACCTAACGAGAGAATACGAGTGCTCACAATCAGTACAGATAATTGGATTGCTTGGTAAAATCGCTGCGACACTCCCTTTCTACTTCAAATTTTCTTCCTGACTTTACCCACGAGGTGTAAAACGATTGTGGACGTCGTGATTGTACTGGAAACTGTAAACTAGATTACACAATAATTGAACTGCAAACGACGTTGCACTGAGCTGTGCTTTTGCATTCAACCTAATTATCTTCATAGAACTTGCGCGTGTCTTGTATGCACTAACTTTTCGATAGTTATACTAAATATTCATATATTCGTATAAGAGCAGTCTTGAGTTAGTGGCTTGAGTGTGCGACTCTCAGCCCTGCGGTCATGCCTTCGAAACTTGTAACACTGGCTCAATTGGTAAAAACAAACATCGTAAGAAAACCGACATGTTTAGACCCAAAAATCAACGTCATATAGTCACAGAAAGTTGATAACATTGATCGCAAATGTCTAAGAATAAAATCGAATAACTGAGTTCACCTGAGGCGAAGGTTCATATAGGGTTGAACCGCCACTCCATTATTTAATATTGCAACAATATTAACTCTTTGTTATATATTTTAAGCAGTGTTAGCCTAGTGGCTTCAGCGTGCGACTCTCATCCCTGAGGTCGTAGGTTCGATCCCCGGCTGTGCACCAGTAGACTTTCTTTCTATGTGCGCAATTGACATTCGCTTGAACGGTGAAGGGAAACATCGTGAGGAAACCGACATGACTTAGACCCAAAAAGTCGACGGCGTGTGTCAGGCACTGGAGGCTGATCACCTACTTGCCTATTAGATTGAAAAATGATCATGATACAGATTCAGAAATCTAAGGCCCAGACCTAAACAGGTTGTAGCGCCATTGTTTTTTATTTAATATATTTTAATTAAATACTGTGAAAAAGGAACTTAAATATCTAGGCTATATCTGACTTATTAAACATGGAAACAAGGAAAGTACAATACGTTCAAATGGATTTTTCTTTCTAAATGCGCATATAACACTTGCGCGTAGGGCAAAGGATCTTAAATCGGCATGCATTAGACCGAAAAATCGATAGCGTGTGTCAGGCACAAGGTTGATCTTATACACTATAAAGATAAATAAATGTTTATGATACAGGAGTCTAAGGTCCAGATCTGAAGGTTGTAGCGCCACTGTTTCGAGATATGTTTAATTAAAAAGTTTATTTCAGCGTCTACCTAAAACAAAAATTATTGTTTCACTAGACCACCTACACTATAGCCACACATAAATAGGAATGTGCTTCTGAGAGCAAAAAGTCATACATTACGCATGTATGTGTCTACACAATATGTTTGATATGACAATTTATTGTTTCTGGTTAAGTATACGATTTTACGAATTGTTCATGGCAGTACTAAGCTCTTAAACGGAAAAGGCATATAACATTTTATCGAAAGTACTAAGTCGGAACGTTCAGGATCACGAGAGCGATTTAGGGAGTCTGTTGTTTGTTGAAGAATTTATTGCTCGCCTACGTTATTTCGACTAATACTTTTAGTTGTTTCAAGGGGATAATGTAGTACCAAATATATTTTTAAGGCAAATGATAATATACATCTATAGTGGATAAAAAATTGTGTTCTTCTCTTGTGAGTTGACGTGACAATTTACATTGTAAATATGTTAAAAAAGTCTGTAAAACACTTAAAAAAACGAATCAAGATAATATCCAAATAATTCATAAACCATATTTAAGTCTCATAAAATGTTTGTTATGAAAAGCGGCTGTTTAAAATGCCTTTTCATTTGTTAAAATATTTATGCAAAGTCCGACAGTTTAAGTTAACTGTCCGAGATGACAGTTGAAGATAAACTGCAATTTATAACTTTGCGAATGAAAAATGTGCAAAGTTTTTTAATTAGCAAAAAACATGTGAAACGCGAATTTCAATTGACTTTAGACTTTTAATGAAATAGTTTTAAATTAAATGGAACCAGTATTCACATTACTTTAGGAAAATTAAATGAAAGAAGTTCACATAAGACGTACGTCTTATCGTACGTAATTGTATGAGTTGTCTCGTAAAAGACTATCATGAAAAGAATTTTAACTAATATTCAAGCCAAATGCATTAATTAAATATATTAACACGAGAAAATGTTCGTTATGTTCAATGATTTATTTTCTCCTATTAATGTTTTCAATCCATATTTGTGATGCAGAAGCGGGCGGTTCGGGATATTTGTTGTGTTTCTCCGAGGTACGGAATAAGGAATTAAATATTATGACACTATCTGGTCAATATATTTTTGAAGCCTTGTTGTATGTCCAAAAAAATATAAACGATTTTAAAACAAATGGTGACTTTCACCAGTATAATACGCGAAATATAACTAATTTGAGTGTACGACCAACTTGAGGAACACTTAAATGATCCTAATCCTTGGGATTGATTTGCTCCAGTTCAAACAATTTGTATGACAACTTTTTTTGAAGCCATTTCAAACACTTGGCGATTAAAAAGAGTGGCGGAAAGTTTCTTGCCAGTTCTTCTTACCCGCTCTACGCCCTTGACTTGCGAACTGATAGTAAATGTAAATTTACAATTAATTTAACTTCTTTTTGACGTTCATAAGTGTACTTGTTTAAACAATGAATTTTAACATAAAATTTTAAATTTAGAAATTTTACATGAATAAAGATATTTTGAGTTTGAGTTTGAGTAAGATAAAGGTATAATTTACAAAATAAAATAATAAGTAGTCTCACTGACTTTGTCGCGCACGCATACACCCACACCAAATTATATTTTACTAGGGTATGCCGATCAAAAACGGTATTTTTTTTTTATATAACAGGGGGCAAACGGGCAGAATGCTCATCTGATGTTAACTGATACCGCCGCCCATGAACACTCTCAATGGCAGAGGGTTCGCGAGTGCGTAACAGGCCTTTTAAGAATTGGTACGCTCTTTTCTTGAAGTACCCTAAGTTGAATTGTTTCGGAAATACTTCAGCGGGCAGCTTGATTCACAAAGTGGTGGTGCGCGGCAAAACTGCCTTAAAAACGCTCAGATTTGGAACGACGGACATCAAGTAATACGGGTGGAATTTCGTATTCTGCCTCGACGTCCGCCGCCCATGGACACTCTCAATGGCAGAGGGTTCGCGAGTACGTA